GCTACCAGCCTCCCTCCACACCGTCCTTCCCCGTCTCGCCGGCGTATTACCCCGGCACGAGCACGCCGCACTCCTCCTCCCCGGACTCGGCCGCCTATCGCCAGGGCAGCCCCACGCCACAGCCCGCACTGCCTGAGAAGCGGCGGATGTCGGCCGGGGACCGCTCCAACAGCTTGCCCAACTACGCCACCATCAATGGCAAGGCGTCCTCGCCCCTCTCCAGTGGCATGTCCAGCCCCAGCGGTGGGAGCGCCGTCACCTTCTCCCACACCCTGCCGGACTTCTCCAAGTTCTCCATGCCAGGTAAGGGATGCTGTCAGAAGTTCCCATATCCCCCTGCCCTGCCCAGGCCTCTCCTCTCCTCCTCCTCCTCCCTGGCCGGCAGGGAAAGGGTTGCAGCTGCGTCCTGATTTACCCCTCCTGCCCATCCACAAGCCAGCGGCACCGCCGGGGGCTCGGGCCATTTCCTGCGCTTTCTGGCAAATCCAAACAGGAAAAGCACCGACCCTGCATCGCTGGTGTAAACAGCGTCCGGAGTTGTGTACGGGGGAGATCAAAGTGCCCGGAGGCGGCTTTTCTCTGCCGTGGGGATGCGCTGACCTCCCGGCCCCGTTCCCAGTGGGCTTTACCCTGCCGAGACCCCGCTGTGGTGCTGCCTTCTCATTTCAAATGGTGTGCCATGCCCCGGGTGCCACCGTGCCTGGAACGCCTTCGCTGGCTCCCGTTACGGGACACCTCGGTGACGCCAAGATTGGGCCGATAGGACAAGAGGAATAAAGCCGTGGGGCAGTGGTGTCTCCGGCTGCCGGGCTGGTTTCGCTGCCTAGAGGGCAGCCCTTTGTGGGCACGCTGGCACCCACCCTGGTCCTGTGGACTCGCCGTGGCTGGGGACTTTTCCCAGTGGGGAAGCGCGAGCAATTAAAACCTGTAACAATTAGCGAGCGGGCTGGGGAGGGGAGTGAGCCCTCCACCTCTCCGAAGGAGACCAGATTGCAGAGGGCTGATAACACGTCTCCAGCAGAAATGTTCTCCAGCAGAGATGTTATCCGGCCTGCCGGGTTATTTGCTTGGTTGTTTTTGGAAAGCAGGTGGTTGGAAACATTGCCTGAGCAAAGCGGTGGCTTCATGGCCGGAGGACTGGGTCCCACTGGGGCCATACCACCGATAGGCACTGAGCAAGGCAGGGTCGGGCTGGGGCAGGTGGCTGTGTTTCCAAGGGTAGGTCGACCTGTCCAGTTCCTCTGTATGGAGCAAAGATAAGGAAAGGAATTTATTTTTATGATGGATGAGCCAAATCTTGAACATTAGAGAGCAATAAAGGTTCTCTAAAGTCAGGGGATCTCCCCACCACCCCCTGGACATATATCTTTCCTCCAACAGCTCACATTTCACCTGACCAGCTCCCTTTTTAATGATGAATTCCCATTTTGTCTCTGGCTGTGTGGCAAGGAGGCTCATCCCCCACATAGTCCTTCAAGGGCCCTTGTGCCCAGGTTAACTGTAGATGCCCAGCAACCCCATAAGCTCCAGGTGATGATCAGCCTGCCTGGGTCTGGAGGATTGGGTTGAGGTTAAAGCAATGTGCCAGGGCGGAGAGGAGGTGGAGGTATTAATGCTTTAGCCAGATTTGCTAAAAACTTGTGGAGTTTTAGCTACAAGATCTTTTGACTTTATTCTTGTCTTCTCCTCTTCCCTTCCTTGCAGACATCAGTCCCGAGACTCGTGCCAACGTCAAGTTTGTGCAGGACACTTCCAAGTACTGGTACAAACCAGAGATCTCCAGAGAACAGGGTAGGTAGATGGCACAGGCCGAAGGATACGGTCAAATGAGCCATGGTTGGGAGTTCGGGTGTATCTGGGATCACAGGGATTAGCGAGGATTTCCCTAAGGAGCTGGATTAGGAGTGAAGGTAGATTGTGGATGCTCAGACCATGGCAGAGGGGGGTTGAAGCCCAGCTCAGCTGCAGGCTTGCATGATGCGAGCTCCCCAAACCTTCCCCTTGGTGGAGGAACACTGCTCCCCACAGCGTGCAGTGGATCTATGTAGTTTGGGGTGCAGAGCACCCAGATCTTGAGTTGAGAGAGCTCAGAGGGGTCTTGGAAACATGGTTAAAATAGGGGAGGAGAGAAAAGGGGAGGGCAAAGTGTCTTCAGGGCAAGGTCCCAGCATTTGGCCTCTGGTCCCTGCCTGCTCTCCAGTGCTTGGTTGCTCAGAGCTGGGCTGCGTGGGTATGGATTCTCTGAGATGCCCATGCAAGTCTGTCTGCAGACCCACCTGAGACCCCCATCCAGACGTGCAGGGGGGACAGTAATGTCGTGGTGCCCAGCTGTGAGGTCACAGAGCCAGGGCACCCCATCCCAGCCCACACCTGCTGATTTTGGAGGGCTCATCAGCTCTCATTGTGCCAGCTCTGATGTCTGCCGTTCTCTCCCGCAGCCATCGCGCTGCTGAAGGACAGGGAGCCGGGGGCTTTCATCATTCGAGACAGCCACTCCTTCCGGGGAGCCTATGGACTCGCCATGAAAGTAGCTTCTCCGCCTCCCACGGTCATGCAGCAGAACAAGAAAGGTATTGTGTGCCCTTCTCCATCCCACGCCAAGATGCTTTCCATCGTTCGGCCAGGGTGAGCGGGCAGCTGGGTCTGGTGAGCCAGCTGTGCTCTTGGGTATGTGCTGATGTGGCAGGATCCCTCCCTCCCAGCCCTCCCCTCCCAGGTCACACGGGATCACCAGGCATCCTCTGCCCTGAGCTGTGGAGGGCTCAGGGGCATCTGCGTCTTGGGCTTTGGTATGGCAAAATGGGCACAGCCTCCCCGGCCCACCGACACCATGGGGTTGCCTGGTTTGGGGTTGACGCTGTGCAAAGGGCCGGTTCGAGGAGGGTGTGCAGAGTGGCAGGGACCCCTCCCTGGAGCTGGAGTGCTGGTTTCCCCATGGGACTGCAGAGTGGGAGGAGTGGGGTGGCTCTGATATAAGAACATCTTGTCTTTTCCCAGGAGACATGACCAACGAGTTGGTGAGGCACTTCCTCATTGAGACCAGCCCGCGGGGTGTGAAACTAAAAGGATGCCCCAACGAGCCCAATTTTGGTGAGTGCCCCCAGTGCGCTTTCCACATGTGCGGTTGGGTTGGGAGAGCCTTGCCTTTGCTGGACTGTCAAAGCAGACTGTCTGGTAGAGCCCCCACCTCTCTTACTGCCTCTTGTCCCTGTGCACGTGTAGGACAAATGATGATGCTGGGCAGGGTGGAGGGCAGGGGCTCCCCTTGTTCCAGTTATCCCATGGCTAATGTGCTCCGAGGTGCTACATGAGGACCTCTGCCCAATATGTTGTTCCTAAGGTGGCCCTGGCATCTCTGCCTCCTGCCTGAGCCCTCCGTGGGCACGATGGTTTCAGCAAGAGGAAATGCCACATGAGGCATTAGGACCACAGTGAAGAACCACACCAAAAAGCCTGTTCCCATCCACCCAGAACAGCAGTGACCTAACACCGGGGAAACCCGTGTCCCCAGCCCTGCGCTGACCATCTGCCCTCTCTCCCCAGGCTGCCTCTCGGCGCTGGTGTACCAGCACTCCATCATGCCCTTGGCCCTGCCCTGCAAACTGGTCATTCCCGACCGAGGTAAGAGCCAGGGCCAGAAGGGAGCGGTGGGACAGCTTGCCTCTCTGCTGGTTGGGATGGGGTATGGGTTCCCAGGCTCAGGGCTGTATCTCCCCAGTGGGGCCAGTCCTGGCGGTGTACCCCTCTCATCTCCATCCTGGGTGCTGTACCTCCTTGCTGGTCCCCTCATCCCTGTGCTCAGACAACTTGGAGCCAGACTGGGCTTTACCCTTTATCCCCAGTGCCACACCTACACTGGGATCTGATGCTCAGCAGTTGGAAAGGGGATAGTGCATCCGCCCCCACAGCCTGCGGGGACGGGGCACGTTTCCAAGCAGGGAGCAGCAATAATAAGAAGCTGTCTCTTCTAGATCCCATGGAGGAAAAGAAAGACACCGCGTCAGCCAGCAACTCAGCCACTGACCTCTTCAAACAGGGTGCGGGTGAGTAGAGAGGGCTGCTGCAGGGTGAATGTGGCCCAGGGCAGTGGCTGACCCCATTTTTGCTGTCTCCCCTTCCAGCCTGTAACGTCCTCTTCATCAATTCGGTGGAGATGGAGTCGCTGACGGGCCCCCAGGCCATTGCAAAGGCCGTTGCTGAGACGCTGGTGGCTGACCCCACACCCACCGCTACCATTGTCCACTTCAAAGTCTCTGCACAAGGCATCACCTTAACCGACAACCAGAGGAAGTAAGACACTCCGTGGCCACGTTCCCAGGTCCCCAAAGCCAACAGGGCTGTGATCCAGAGAGTGTATTGATGAAGGATGTCCCTGGGCTGGTATGAGCCTGGTCATGGGCAGGACTGGGCTTTGTCCTTCACTCCTGGAGCATCCTAGGGGAGGCCTATGGGGATGTCCCCCATGCCAGTGGGACTGGGCTGTGGTGGGGCAAGAGGTGGGAGCTCCCTGGTCCTGATGCTCCCTGCCTTGTGTTTCAGATTGTTCTTCCGACGACACTACCCCCTCAACACCGTCACCTTCTGCAACCTGGACCCCCAGGAACGAAAGTGAGTGCCCTAACCTGGGGGGAGTACATGTCCCCTGCCCCTTTCCCTCCCCCAGGCTCCGGGGCTGCTTGGAACAGGGTCTTTGTTTGCTCTGTCCTCCTTGATCTGTGGAGGGCAGGGATAGAGGGTCCCCTTAGATAACAAGGAGCAGCACCAGCTTCTCCTGGTGACTTCTTGAGGTCTCCAAACATCTTCATGCTGGGGAAGAGGTGCGTCAGGTTTTTTTTCCATAGAGCCAAGCCTGTGCAAAGCCAGGCTGACCCTTCAGCATTGGTGTGGTCACCCCATCACGGCCCTGTCTCTCTGCGGGGTGCAGGAGGCACTATCCCTCACACCTCTTCTTCTCCTTGCAGGTGGACTAAAACTGACGGCAGTGGCCCAGCCAAGTAAGTACTTTCTTGTGCCTGATTCCTCCCAGCCGCTGTCGGAGTGGTTCCTGCTTGTGTTTGAGCATTGGCTGGGAGATGCCCCACGCAGAGCAGCGTGCGGTGGGCTCAGCTCCTTGCTGCAGGAACATTTCACCCAAGCATGAGACTATGGTTCTGGGGACTCGGGAAACATCTTTCAGCCCCAAATTCCTGGTCAGAGCAGGCATGGTCCTTGCTGAACTGGCCTTACAGGAAACTCTTCCAGTGGAGTCAGTGGGAGCCAGCTCATGAAACAGAGCTGGGGGGTTATGCTGATGGTATGTGAGCCACCAGCCGGCTCTTTCCTCCTGTCCTCCCTGTTCCGACCCACAGGAGCACAGAGCTGCCGGCTGAGCCCATTTCCAGGGGCCAATTCCCACTAATTTTAGCCATTGTGTTAGCAAAGGGGTTTTTATTAGGATGTCCAGCTGTTGGGATATTTCCCCTCTCCAATTAGAAATGCCGTGGCCTGGGCCTGTCTCACATTCTGTTCCCCTGTATTTATAACTTGAGTTTGCACGTTCTAATTAAAAAAAAAAGGGGGGGGGGGCATTTTATTTATCAGAGAAGAGATAGACAGAAATAATTGCATGGTCTCACCCAGCTCCCCATGTCCTCACATGGCCTTCTCAGTGTTACAGGATCTTTCATACGGGGTCTACCCCAATGGCCAGCCCATCACGCCTCTGTGCTTTCAAGGGTCGTCACCCAAACCGAGGCAGTGCTGTGGTCATCTGGAAGGTCCCTTCCTGGGGACGATCTAGGGAAGGGTGGCAGGAATGGTTGGGGCAAGGGGGTTTTGGCCAAGAGATGATGGAAACACAGCGCTGGCCTTGAAAGAAACTGCAGCAAAGGGAATAGTAGACTGGTCTTCATGCAGGCTGGTTGTGATGTCTCCATCTGTGTTGTGCGAGGTGGATGGGGGGGACAGACAAGACCATGCTGGAAGAGGGTGGTGGTGTTCCTTAGGTGAACAATGCTGGCAAACCTCACTGAGCCTCTTGCCTTCTCCCCACCTAGGCTCTTCGGCTTCGTGGCCAGGAAGCAAGGGAGCACCACAGACAACGTCTGCCATCTCTTTGCCGAGCTGGACCCAGACCAGCCGGCTGCAGCCATCGTCAACTTTGTCTCCAGGGTCATGCTTGGCTCCGGCCAGAAAAGATGAGCCGGTGCTTGCGGGTGATTCTTGAATTTTGGAGAAGGACTTGGAGCTGATCCGAGAAGGAGTGTGAGGAAGTGCATTGTGGGAGAGGGAAGTGAATCGGGGGGGGGGGGGGGGGAGGGGTGGCATTTGGGGGG